TTACTTGACAATAGTGGCATGTCTTTGAGCTGGTTGCTATTGTAGGCGGATCGACCTTATCGAGGAGACTTCCATTTATTACTATTATAATTTTACTTGACGACTACAGTTAAACAGTATGACATTACTAGAGTGAACCTATTAAATAGAATGGCTTGACAAAGAGATTTTTCGGCCTTGCGCAAGAAATCTTAAATTTCTACTCTTGAATTGAGTCATAAGTGTATCATGCTAGAGTGATATCTGATACAAAGATCACGCATCGAACGATAAAGTCACGCTACAGGAAAATGGGTCTAGGAGGCTTTCTTCTTTTATTCTTGGTAGTTCAGTTTGGTTTACAGAATTGTGACTCAAAGTCTTTCACAATCGACTACGAAAACGACTGTTTCCTAAAAGATGGCGAACCATTTCGTTACATTTCCGGGAGCCTTCATTATTTTCGAGTTCCTCGTTTTTATTGGAAAGACAGGCTCATGAAGATGAAAGCCGGAGGTTTGAACGCTGTGCAGACTTACATCGCTTGGAATATCCACGAACCAGTTCAAGGACAATACAACTTTGAGGGAGATGCAGATTTTGTGAGTTTTATCGAGCTCGCCAACAGCCTTGGGCTCCTGGTGATCGTCAGAGCAGGTCCTTACATTTGTGCCGAGTGGGATTTTGGCGGATTTCCAGCTTGGCTGTTGAATGATACATCTATTGCACTAAGGTCGTCCAAGGACAAGCGATACCTTGATGCTGTAGACTCGTGGATGTCCGTAGTACTTCCAAAGGTGAGACCACTGCTGTACGCCAATGGGGGACCCGTCATATCAGTCCAAGTCGAGAATGAGTACGGCAGCTTCTTTGTTTGTGACCACGATTACATGACGCATCTGGAGCAGGTATTCCGGAAATATTTGGGAGATGATGTGATTCTCTTCACAGTGGACAGTGACTGGCAGTTCTTATTTTCATGCGGCACAATACCTTCTCTCTATGCGACTGTTGATTTTGGACCGGACAAAGACCCCGAGAGTGCGTTTGCAGTCATGCGCAAGTTTTCTCCTAAGGGACCTCTGGTTAATTCTGAGTTCTACACTGGCTGGATTGATCACTGGGGCAAAAAACACCAGACGAAAGCCGCAGCATTGGTCGCAAAATCTCTTGAAAAGATCCTGTCCATGAATGCATCCGTCAACATTTACATGTATGAAGGTGGAACGAACTTTGACTTTATGAATGGTGCCAATGATAATTTGCTTATGTACAAACCCATACCTACAAGTTATGACTACGATGCGCCCTTAACGGAGGCTGGTGACACCGGAACGAAATTTCACATTCTGCTGGAGACGATTGCCAAACATGAGAAGATACCTGTAGTTCCCATTCCTGCTAACACAACAAAGTTTGCCTATGGTAAAGTTCAGATGACCCGAATGTCGACCTTCCTTGATGCTGTGCCAAAGCTTGCCGCTCCCCATGGCCCTGTGAATGCATCGTTTCCTTTAACCATGGAGCAGATTGGACAAAATTACGGATTTGTTCTTTACAGAACACAAATCCCAAAAGCGTTTTCACAGTCGAGTGTTCCCTTGAACATCGCAAGCTTAGTGCGTGACAGGGCCATTGTCTATGTAGGAAAAGTTCGCCAGGCAACAATGTTTCGCACGTGGAGCCAATCGAGTGTAATGCTTCACATTGAACACTTTTTACAACTGGACATTCTGGTTGAAAACACAGGAAGAGTTAACGCTGGCCCCGGAATGGTTGATCCCAAAGGAATTGTTGGAAATGTGACAATCGGTGGGACGCTGCTGATGAATTGGCAGATGTATCCCATAAGCCTGCGAAATGTTGTGTCAGAACCTTCAAGTCTTACATCTTCTTCCCATCTTCAAGATAAGAGCAACAACGTTCTCACTGCATCAGATGACACCTTTGCTCCTTCTTTTTATCATGGCGAAATTCCGCTAAGTCCCTATGGCAACTCCGTATTTGACACTTTTCTACAACTGCCAGGATGGCATAAAGGTCAGGCATTTGTCAATGGCTTCAACTTGGGCCGTTATTGGCCTGCAGCTGGTCCACAGTACACACTGTTTGTGCCTGCAAACGTGCTGTCACTGAAGCCGAGTGCTATCACTGTAGTGCTGCTTGAGCTGGATGGTGCGCCATGTTTGAATCCAACCTCCTGTTTTGTGGAATTTGTTGCAACCCCTTCCATAAATGGGCCTGTACACCCCATAGGCGCTAGGTAATAACAGGGTTATAATTTAGGGTGCGTTCCTATGGAGTGATCTGAATCAGGATCAGTGATCCAAGATCACTCAGATCATTGTACATCAAAGGAACCGATAAATCCACTCTGGTCACGGATTCATCGGTTCGTTCGATGCACCGTGATCCGAGTGATCTTAGATCACTGATACTGCTCAAGATCAACCTAAAGGAAGGTACCCTAAGAGCCAGAAAAACGTTTCATCTAAGTTTAATTATTTGAGTTATTGACTTTTGCCCGTTGATTTTTCGAGCGATCTACGAGCACAATTTGTCTCAGGGTTACGGTGGATCAAGGGGAGGGCGAACAATCCCGCGAGTAACATATGCTTTCCAGTGTCTCTCTGCCTCACTCATTGACTGCGATCGAATTTCTTGCTATCATGTTCCAGTTATGTCCAAAACCAAGTGATATGGAAATCAGACTAAATAATTTTAAACATTGCTTAAATTCAAATAAACAAAACAGATAAAAGCAGTTACAGACTTCCGTTGAAAAAACGAAAGTAGATCTGAAAATTAAGCGTGCAAAATGAGAATAGGAGAATAAAATTAGATTGAAATGGTCGTACTGCTAGGTCTGATCTTGTTTAAGTAGATGTCTAACCTCTTTTACCCCTGCCTTAAGCCAAGATGTATAGAAGAAAGGTCGGTTATCTATTCTAATCAGTGAGTTGTGCCATATACCCGTAGAGTTAAAATCAAGGTTTTTCTCTCTGTAATTGAAACTAGTCCAGTGTTCTATAATTTCTGTCAAGAAAGGATCTCTTAGATTAAGCTGAGGAACATCCTGCGGTTCAAGGTTACTTAAAAATACTACTTTTCCTCCGTACTTCTAGAGGTGGAAGTCTACGAAAAGCTTCCATTTACCACGATCCTTTAAGGTGGCCGAACACAGTTTTGGCGCGCGCTTTTGCTGATGTAATTCAGCGCGCGCACAAGTATTGCAAAAAACAAACATGCCGTCAATAGGGCGATCATTTCATTTACTCAATACTCGCCTTATTTGTGCTATTTTTCTCTATAACTGAACGCAGTGTATTGATGGCTTTAGTCTTTTGTTACAAAGGTATGTTAGAAAAGGTAGCAATGCAAAGAACCCAGCAATTCTCAGCTTTTTCTTTGTTACCAAAAGAACCCAGTTAGATGCAGCGCATGCGTAGTAAGTCAAAAAATTGCGATTGAATGAAAAATTGCACTCTCGGAAATACGCCTATTTCTCGAGAACCGCTCATTAGGATTTCACGAAATTTTGCACGAAAATACTTTAGGAAATAAGTAACTGGAGTATTGAAAATAATTGAACTTTAACAAAGGAAATTTGAGATATTCCAGTGAACCTTCAACAAGGGATAATTAAAGATCTCTCTGTTAAATTATTAGCAAAATGGTGTCAACTTGTGAGAATCGTTACAAGCTTGTTGCATGCAAATTATAAAGAAAATCTAATGACTAGTTTTTCTACAAATAAACAAAACCGATTTTACAGGCCTGTTTATATTTATTCATGTTGCCATGGCAACGGCACATACGTCAGCTTAACCATCAAAAAACCAAAGTTTGTGTTGTTAACTTGCTTTCTGCTAGTTTTGGCGACCGAGGGATAAAAGGCTTTGGAGAAAAAGGTGAATGAAACACAGGTATCAAAACTGTGTGCAGCCACCTTAAGTGCACCCTGATGCATTAATTGAGCGAGAGGATAGAACATGCACAATTTGAGACACTGCCAAAAATTTTACGATCGTGATTTTACCTAGAGGAGCTAATCTTCTAGCAGACTAGCTCTTTAGGATGTTTTTTTATTCTCTCGATTTTTTCGAAAAAGTTAACGTAAAAAGCGTTTCACTTCTAAAGTCGAAAACCAGACTCCTAAGGCGTAGACTTTTCCTTTAGCCCATGTTATATGTTTATTAGAAAATAATATAGTGTTAGAGTTTTTGAATGAGCCGATCCAGAGGGCTTCTGTTTTATCGTTATTAACTTTCAAGCCGGACATAGAGCCAAATGCGTCAAACAAGTATAGAGTTCTTGAAAATGAGGATTGTGAGCCATTTAAGCGTATTGCGAAAATTTGCATTCGGTTCCCAAGATCGTGATTCCATGAACCTCTTTATCATTTCTTACTGTGCTACCTAAAATTCCTGCACATAGAATGAACAAATATGGAGAAATGGGACAGCCCTGTCTTACACCGCGACGTAATGTGAAGAACTCCGAGGCCCAGCCGTTGTTTTGGATACAGCTGCTAATATCAGTGTAGAATAATTTCATCCACGCAATCAAAGATGGAGCGAAATTGTAATATTTTAGGGTAAGACGATCTCACAAGGAGCAAAACAAATACTTCACTTATAAAATACAAACTTGGATTTCTTTATCTTGTTATAGACTCCCTTAGAAACAAGACGGGGACAATGTCCTAAGAGCATTGTCTCAATATTTATTCCACTCTACTAGCTCATGGTATACCCTGTAAATGGCCAGTTTACACCAACATTCGTACCACAAGAAAGAACCAAAAGTGGCGAGCTTGGTTACACGAGTGTAATTTAATTCTGCGAATTGTCTTCGTTACCATGCACGCATGCGCATATCTCTTTTTTGTCTTGCGGTCCATTTGCCTGTTAGTTGTCCTGCTCTTCTCCACTTGCTCCGCCTGTTCGATCGTCACCACTGACCGAGAGAGCCTGGAACAGGCTGGCATTTCTTTACTACCGATGTGTTAAATTATAAAGAACACCAATACTAACATTCGGTCTGTTTGCGTAGTCTAAAATCTTCTATTCGATGTTTCATGAGATAGCCGTATTGAAAGTATAGCCCAATCTTTAAGTCCCGTGTCAAATGATTACCGCGTTGGCTGCTAGGGCTTTTAATAATATGCTGGCTAGATTTCGCCGCAACATGACGTTTCAAAATGGACCTAGCTTAAAGGACGGATGAGAAGAATATTGAACAGTTATGCGCAGTTTTAATGTATGCTAAATTGCTGTCAATCTGAAATACACCGCCGGGTAATTCATATGTAGTTTTGATGGGGGTTCAGTAGGCTCCTCACAAATTTTGGGTTAGTCAAAGAAGGGTGCCACTAGCCCCACTGCGCTGCTGCTTGGCCAGACTACTACCATGCTTGTTCCGCAAGGGTACAGACTCAAAATGAAGGCTTGGGCCAACGCTAGACTGAAATTCGAGCTAATTAAGTTGGTCAGGCAGGAGGCTATTTAATTATCCTAAAACAAAGAAATATACCATTTGGGAAAGCTGAATGAACAGAAGATGTCATTAACATAAAAGGATCAGGGGACAACTTCAAACAAGAAGATCGTGTCCATTTTGAAAGTCTCTTATATCAGTCATCTTTGCTAACGGCGGTCTGACTCTAAATGGCAAGCACACTTAGGAGGTCGTCTATAAAAACACATTCCTAATAAGGAAAGCCTAATAAAGTATTGGGCTTCATGGCAGGCAATTATTTCGAGTTCTATAGTGACAGCGATTTCGTACACAACTGTTTTAGTTTTATGCAAAATGGTTGCATAACTAACGAACGTTTTTTTATTGACACTGGTGTGACAACCTTAATTTCTCAAAGCAGTTTTTGTCTACCTTGTGCAGATGAAATAAAGGGCTAATCAAGCAACATGAATATTAGCTGCTTCGACGAAAGTTTGAGCTTTGCGGCATCCATCGTTCTCTCAGTGTGGTTGGCCTCCTCCGGTTTAGCAGCTGTCATTGGAAATGCAGTAGTGCTATGGTTGTTCTACAAAAACGAGTCTTTACGAACAATTTCAAACCGATTTTTAGCCTCGTTGTGCGCAGCAGACTTTTTAATAGGGCTTGTCATAAGCCCTGTATGGATGGTTATCAGATGTTGGATTAAGCCGCCAGGAACAGCTACAGTCTTAATCAAGGTTTTGGACATGCTGTGGATTCACTCAACTGCTGCTACAATGTTTAACCTATGTTGTGTTTCCGTTGACCGATTTATTGTCATTCGCTTTCCTTTTCGTTATCAGGACATTATAACCAAGAAAAGATGTTACGCAGTGATCATAATAGTCTGGTTAACCTCACTGATTCTTCCAGCTTTTCCGGTTATATTTGAAGATGTCGAAAACTTGTGGCCGTTCTTAATAGTTCTAATGGTTTATATTCCAATAGCACTTGTCACTTTGTGCTATGTTTGGATTTATAAAGCCGCTAGAAGACAAGCTACAGCAATAAGACGGGTCACTCAGACAGGGGTCGAATCAACCCTTGCTGTAGAGAACTATAAAGCTATCAAAACCGTTGGTTTTGTATTGGGTGTTTTTCTGGCATCTTGGATGCCCTCTTCTGTTGTTTTTGTTGTGCATTATTTGGCAGAAAGTGACTCCTGTGCGGATCACAAACTGTACACTGTTGTGTGGCCCTGGGTTGAGGCAATCGCCCTCACATCATCAGCGATCAACCCTTGGGTGTACTGCATTCGTAATAGCGAGTTTCGTCAAGCTTTACGCCGCAGTTTTCTTTGGTTTTTCTCAGTGGAAGTTACACCAGAACGAGAACGTAGCCCTGTTCCATATGGGAACCAGGGACTGTGAAATGGCATGGTAGTTGTTGGTTATATCACTGAAAGAGTCAGAGCTCCGAGAACGACTCATACCAATCTACTATGTCGACCACAATTATGATGTGATTTTGAAGTGCGGTCTTGTTCAGTTTGGCATTAATAAAAATAAATCATCAAGAAAACCATGTCAAGCTAGTTTTTCTCTCCATTAAGTTTATCCTACTGTCAGTATTTCGCTGTGAGAAGGCGACCAAATTATGCTACTTAAGATGCTCATACCCCTACCCGCAGGCACCCGCGCACACATGCGGGCGTATTATGAGCGCGCGATTGCATATTTTCAAATTAGGCTGCCATCTTAAATTTGGTAACTCGAGGGGAATTTGCATAAGGTGTAGTCGTGAGGTGGAAACACTGCCCTAACCCTCTACCAGCCAAACATCCAATTATAATATATCCATGGCGACATTCGAATACCTGGTCTATCGAGCGCTCCGTACAAAGTAACAGCAACAAAAACATCTAGCTTAAAACCAATGATAGCTTTGTAATTTTGCATAGTACGAACTGGAACGTTCTTTTCGTTGGAGTTTTGATGATCAGTTTCCCTTTTTATTCTGCTGGCTTGTTTTCCGGCTCTTTAAAAATGGAAAAAAAATAATAAAGCTAGTGACAAACGTTATCTGAAGAATGAAAATTATTCTCCGTGTGAACTCATTTTGAAATCGTTAAATCAACCCCTACGCAGGGAGCAACTCGATCACTAGACTACGAGTAGTCCCTCTTTCGCTTAGTCCGTAGTGCGTGACGCGAAAGAAAACCGCGAGAAAAAAATGGCCGCGCGAAATCCTAGAGGCGAGGAGCACTTTACTGTGGGGCTTATTATAGACCCTACCTGGATAGCCATCAGATGTTGGATTCAGCCACCAAGGACCAATATTTTTTAGATCTTTTGAGGCAAGTAATAAACTTGCTGTGGATTCACACAACTGCTGCTACAGTGTTTAACGTATGTTGTGTTTCCGTTGACCGATTGAATATTTTCGAACTTTCGTCCTGTCTCGAATTTATATTTTCTATCCAAAGTTACGGAGAAAGCAGTTGCAGCACAATTAATGGACCACCTTAATGATAATG